TTTTCTTCCTTAATTTTTTTTGGCAGAGATTAATAATTTATCTTATTCAGTAATTTTCTTGTTTAATTTCTAGTCTTGGTGAATTGAACAACCTAAGATATGTGTTACTGTAAATATTAATTAATTAGTGATAGTAAAATATTGATGTCACGACATGCTAGCTCGAGTAGGTAAAAGAATCTTGATCACTTAATTAAGGCTTCACGTGCCAACGGATAGATTTGAAATGAAGACTTTCAAAGTCAAGTTAAAATACTATTTTAAATGCAATAAAAATTATTTTCTTTTAAAAAATAGCTCGCTTTGTTGGTCATTCCCTTCTGTCTTGGTTGATGGATAGGTGGCGTCGGCGAAGTGGAGAAATTGAACAAGGCCTTGGATCCATTTGGTGAGCCGGATTAAGTAAGGTATCATTCAAGTACAAGAAAAAATCCATTGAAAGAAGGGATTCCGGGAGGAAATGGGGTATCAATGTATCGAGTTGAGTCAGCTCTTTACTTAGACACTTGAGTTTGGCTTGTATCCACAAACTAGATTTTATTTGATTGTTTGTAACGCAATACAAAAAGAAGAGGGTTTCAAGGGTTGAAAATAAAATCAAAGTATCTGTTTTAGGAGAATTTTGTGTCCATTTTTAGGGGAAATGATGAGCAAAATACAACGACCTTGCCCTTGATGTACAGCGTTTCGGCAAAATTTCATCATTTATCGCTACAAAAAAAAGAAAAGAAAAGTATATTTCACTTTGTTATTATCCAGAGTTAGTTGTTATCTAAGAGTTCAGTTATTATTCAGATTTTATTTATTATTTTAAATATGAATTATAAGCCCTGTGTCAATTAATTGAATTTGAGTTTAATAAAGAATACTGATAAATTTCACAAAATTATTATCTCTTTCTTCTTATTCGTTAGCTAATAAATAAATTTGAGTTTTTGTGAGACTTTGTTCTTTCTTACAAGCTTCCACTACGTCAATTTGACGTGTGGGCATCATGGATATAATCGAGCCATCCATGACCCGACTCTTTTTTTTTCCTAAAAGAAATAAATAAAACAAGCTATAAAACGAGTAGATTCGTGAAAAAATTTGAACTCAACTCAATTTATGGTTCATCTCTAAACGAGCTAGAACTGTCCACGGGTCAAATCGGGACTATCCGAGCCTAGGAGCTACTCAATCCATTTGCCATTCCTATCTAACGAGTGCCATTAAATTATTAATATATGTGGTGAATAAAACCTGGTCTCTTAATTCAACTAATTTGTCAATTTATACAAGACTTCCACTAACTTGTTTTACTGATCATTTCTTAACATCTATATTAACCATCCGACATTGACCACTTAATGTCGAGGTGGCCAAATCTCGGCCCCTAGATGTGTGTGTGGGGGGCCCCACATGAAAATGATCAAGGGCCGAGGTGATTGCCACCTCAACCTGGGGCAGAACTTGGGATTTTATCCCGAGTTCTATAGCATGGTTCCTTCTAATTTCGCCAAATTCTTTGCATGCATGTCATGTCATGCCTTTTTCTTCCTTATTTTATTTTATTTTTTGGCAGAGATTAATAATTTATAAAGTTCAGTAATTTTCTTGTTTGATTTCTAGTATTGGTGAATTGAACAACGTAACATATGTGTTACTGTAAATATTAATTAATTAGCGATAGTAAAACATTGATGTCACGATATTGTGAAAAACATGCTAGCTTGATTAGGTAAAAGAATCTTAATTACTTAATTAAGGCTTAATGTGCCAACCGATTAATTTGAAATGAAGACTTTCAAAGTCAAGTTAAAATACTATTTTAAGTGCAATAAAAATTATTTTCCTTATAAAAACAGGGGTGTCGATGGATGAAGTTGAGCCGGCTCTTTACTTAGACACTTGAGTTTGGCTTATATCCACAAACTAGGTTCAATTTAATTGTTTGTAATGCAATACAAAAAGAAGAAGGTTTCAAGGAAAATGAAGATCAGGGTTAAAAAAAAAAAAAAATTAAAAATTAGAGTACCTGTTTTTGGAGAATTTTGTGTCTCTTTTTAGTGGAAATGGCCGAATGAGCAAAATTCAATGACTTCGCCTTTGATGTACAGCCGTTTAGGCCACATTTCATCATCTATGGCGACAAAAAAGTATATTTCGCTTTATTATTATCCAGAGTTAGTCGTTATTTAGGAGTTTAGTTATTATTCAGATTTTATTTATTATTTTAAATACGGATTATAAGCCTATGTCAATTAATTGAATTTGAGTTTAATAAAGAATATTGAGAAATTACACAAAATTATTCTCTGTTTTTTAGTAGGAAAAGTCTACTTATACATAATTTTTTAACATAAGGGGTGTCCACACCCCCTATGTACAAAAATTATGTATCTCCAGCATTACTCTTCTTAGTATTCGTGAGCTAATCAATAAATTTGATTTTTTGTGAGACTTTGTCCTTTCTTATAAGCTTCCACTACGTCAATTTGACTCGTGGGACTCATGGTTCAAGTCGATCCGTCCACAAGTCAACTCTTTTTTCTAAAAGAAATAAATAAAAGAAGCTATAAAAAATGTGTAGATTCATGAAAAAAATTGAATTTGACTCAATTTATGGTTCATTTCAAAACGAGCTTGAATTGTCCATGGGCCAAGTCGGGACTATCTGAGCCTACAATCTACTCGATCCTTTTGCCGTCCCTATCTAAATGAGTACCATTAATATATGTGGTGAATGATATAGTGAAAATGTAATGTAAATAAAAATTAAAGGTTTGTAACGTTGAATTTGGGTATATTGCAACTTCTTTGAAACTTAGATACTTCTTTCGAGATGAAATAAATGACATTAATTCAACTATTCTAAATTTATAAATTGTTAGAAAGACGAAAGTTTTATTTATTTATTTATCAAACGTGTAACACACAAAATTTTCCAATGGCCTACACAAAAACACTTAAATCATTAAAACACTAAGAGATATATTTATTTATTTCTCTTTTTCCCTTTAACAATTATTATTGATGAAATATGTGAGACCAAAAAATATTCGATTGAAAATGAATTTGTCAAACAGGGACTAAAAGTTGCATAGCCATTGACTTTTAGAATAATTTGCTTTGGTCTGTTCAAGTCAAGCCAAAGAGCCTCTTGCAAACTAGAGTCAATTTTCGCATGCACATTAATCTTGATTGGTCGAAGATATGATGTACAAATTTTTAGTTAGGGGCACAATCAACTATGTACAAATTAAATAAAAATATTATTGATTTTTGAATGGTTTATACCTGACCCGAGAAAATACAGATTTACATTTAAAAAATATTTTTCATTAATATTTTGCTCATCATTTTCATTCATTCAAGTGATAGAAAGGAAAAATATATAATCAATATTCAATCACATAAATACAATTCGTTAAAAATAAGTTAAATTGGATATAGTCAGTTCGGACACATTCTATGTACACAAATAAGATAAGAGAAAATGCAAATTCAGGTTCTAATTAATTGAAAACTTGATTAAAAAGCGAAACTTTGTAGTAGATGTGATAATTTATAGAAAAATTATAAACAAATTAAAAAAAACTAGAAGGGTTAAGGTTTTGGTAAAAGGTGTAAAAAGAGAGAGTAAGATAGAGTACGAGAAAAGGAAAAAGTTCTAATTTATTGTGATTTTGCCCTGTTTGTTGGGAGTTAAAATTAGACTTTTAGTAAATTTTGATAAAAGTTAAAAAGTTAAGGATTCCCTAAAATATGTTATTCAAATTAAGTATAACTTTGATTTAGATTAAAATTTAAATTTTAATCGATATTAAACAAGACTTATCCACAAAAAGTAAAAACCTCAAAAGTTGGGGGGTCACGATCGATATTAAATAGGACTTATACACAAAAAATAAAAATCTCAAAAGTTGGGGGGTCACGTGACCCCCCTTGGGTCGGCCCCTGGATATGAACTAATCTAGACTTGTGGTAGTGAATGAGAATTATTTGGAGAATTTCCAGGATTTTCATCAGCAACCAGGCGCGGAGCCAGCACCCGGCGAGGGGGCGCGGCCGCGCGTGCTGGCTCCGCCAGAATCTGCAGAGCCGCCGGGCAGTGTCACCAGTGGTTGCCGACGGTCGCTGGAGAAGAAGAAGATGGAACTCGTTTCAAATTTTTTTTTTTTCTTTTTTGTTGGTTTGGGCTTTTTTTACAAAATGTTGGCCTTTTATTATTTAGCCCAAATTCCAAACTCATTACCCTAACCCATATCAAGGAGGAATTAGTGGCCAACAGCCGGTTGACCCGGCCAGTTTTCCAAAGAGGCCTTTGACCAATTAAAAAAAAAAAAAAAGTAAAATGTTTAAAATATTGAAAATCAAGAGAAATCCAAATTTACCCTTACTATTTAAAGAAGAAAGAGAAGATAGTAAGGAAAGAGAAAAATTACTGTAGCACTGATAAAAAAGGAAAAATAGACGACCCATATTTAAAGTTTTTATGTTGATTTTTGGAAAAAAAACATGATTTCATATACATGTGTTGATTTTTGGAAAAATACATGATTTTTGGGTAAAGATAATAGTTTGGGAGGAGGAAAATGGAGTAGAGATCGCCGAAAATGGAGTTTTCCGGCGATCTCCACAAAGGAGACGTAAGCATATTAATACCCATTTCAATGATTTCATTTGCCTTCTTTCAATTTCAGAATCGTGAAGGTGAATTCCTGACTTCGTTCAGTTCGTTGGCTGCCGATTGGGACTGGGAGGGATCCTCTTCTAATCTTCTTCACTTTCATTTTGTGGACCAGTTCAGAAAAATTGCTGCAGTCCGTAGACTGCAGATCGAAACTCGAACTCGATCGAAGGCTCAGGCCTCTAGTGCTCTTGCAGTCCTGCTGCCGCTTGCTGCGATGCTGCCGAGAGGCCCGAGTCGCCCGACTGCCGACTCGTAAGTGTAAAGTGTGGTAACTCTTTTTTTTTTCCGGCTCTCTTTATTTATTTATTTTTATTTTTATTTTTTTGTTCTTTTATTGGTTTTGTTCTATTTTGATTTTGTTGAATTTTGTTACTGAATTTTGTTGAATGTTGTTCTACTTGTAAATGTCTCAATTTATTGGAGTTTTGAGCTTTTCAATCATGTGTTCCCACATACTGTACCTTTAATCAATTGTCAAAACCAATGAGATTTAGCACTTAGCAGCAATGATTTTTAATAAGTTAAATTCTCTTTCTTCTCTCATGCGTTTTCACAAATTATACGGAAATTTATACTTGCTAAATGTAGTCAAGGATTTTGTTCTATAATTTTGACATCTACAAACCATTGGTCGTTTATAGAGTTGTAAAGGTAGTGATGTAAGGTTAGAATGACCCAATTTTGTAGTGTAGTCAAGCGTGCATGAAATAGTCAAATTTTTCTTTGATCAAAATTTACATAATTTTGCCATTTCTTTCCTCATAAAAATTTTCTGCAACTATAATATTAAAAAACAACAATTACGAAGGTCAACCAGTCCTAGTCCGATCGTCAACGGTCAACCCGCCCTAACTGGACTTCGATCCTGGATTCGCCGCTGTCAGCAACATCACTCATTTTTCTTGAAAGTCTGTTTCTACGATATCCCAACTTTTTCAAAACCATCGTTGTCGCAATCCAAATCCCTTTATATTGAGCCGAAGAATTCTCAAATCTGTCTTTTGCCCGAAAATAATAGATTAAAAGTGATGCTGATGATGTGACTCCTGTGATGATAAACAGCACAAAAAAGTTCTGAGGGCTAAGACTTGCAGTTTCATTGTCTGATTTAATATCTACACATTGCTCAGATGCTATTAAGCTCTGCTCCAAATCTTTCAGCACCCCATTTTCCCGAACATTCAGTAATGCTTCATCTATGTCAGGAAGTAAAAGGGATCCCTTTGGAAATGCCTGAGATGAAGAAATCAATAGAAAATGTTGTCATCAGTTTCATCTAATAAAATTTCGCCCCCTCTCTATCCACATAAGATGGTGGTTACCCAAAATTGTGCACGTGTAAGATTATTGATAAAAAAAAAATGAAATTGAACTGCACGTGAACGTGTGCGTACTTTCATAAGGGAAAGAGAAATTACAAATCCGTATCCTCCAACTAGGGAAGTAGGACCAGCTATGGTGAAGCTCTTGCAATATTTGGCGACGAAAAGTTTAGCCACAGGAACTTCAAGAAAGGCTGCTGCAATAGCACCACTTCTGAGAGCCAGTGCATACTCGTCTGTCGATGTGAAATTCCTAATGTTGCTTGATTTAAAGCCTAAAGGACCCTCCAAATATCCCCTAACAAAAGACAGATTCGAGTAGCCAATCAATGCGTTATTGCTCTTTAATGTCTCAATATTTGTTATTTTTGGTTCAAGATTTTGCACTGTGAGCATGCTGCTAAGGCTGGCTGTATAGCTTTGTGTGATGATCAGAGACACGAAAAGCCATACCACGGTGGCCATACGTGACAAATTGCTATGTAATTTTTCACCTGTAACAAATTTAGCCAAAAAAAATCAACAAATATTCATTTGAAAACTAGTGTGATCATCTTGAGTGTACACATTACCTTTTATTGAGAACAGTGTGGCAAAGGCCAACCAAAGTAGAGTGCCTATTTGGTTCAGAACTGGTCCTCTTAGTTCAGAGCAGTAATTTCGCTCAATACTCCAAACGACGAATCCATTGAAGACATTAATGAAAAATGTGAGAAACCACATGGCTTTTGTGAAGGGCTTCACAAACAACCAAGCTCTGCTCGAATGCCATAGAATTGGCACAACCATTACTAGTCCTGTCTCAGTATGAGCGTGCGTGAATTCTACATATTTAGATCGATTTGATATTATGGCGATGTCACCAACTGCTGCATCAAATTCCTAATCAAACAATAAAGACTCGTGTCAGTATATAACTCGAATGAAATATCTCTAGGATAGTATAGAATATCTTACCTTTGATTGAACTTTCTTTCTTCACCAAATCAATGTAGTTTGTCTCAATATATAACTTGAATGAAATTTCACTAAGAGAGTATGGAATATCTCACCTTTGATTGAACTTTCATTACTAAATCATTGTAGTTTCCTCCAAAAGGAACGAATTTATATTGTAGAGAGTACTTCAAATGCCTTGCCGTTTCATCAAACACATCAAGAGAAAATCCCGAGAAAGTGTACTTGTCTGTAGAAGAATCATAATCAACTTTCACAAATTTGTTTGTAATGGATCCATTGGGAACTCCAATTTTCAAAGGATTTTCAATTGTTGGAAGATCCCAACCTCTTGGAGCAGAAGATCGCCCTCCGAGTCCAGGCCAAATAACATCTCCTAAACTCTCCATGGATAAATTGTACACTCCATGATCTATAGTATGGGAGAATCCTAAATTCTCAGTCCAGAATCCCAGTTCTCTGTAATGCTTTCCAATGATATTGATTATCTGAAATCGAGTTGCGGACTCTAATTTTTTCCCCTTAAACCGGATATTCCCACTTAAACCGTTGAAATCTGTTTTGAGAATACTTTCCAAAAGTTGCCAACCGTTGCTTTTGGTAGGTTCATTCATTGCTAATCCCACTATCCGCACAGCATCATAAGCCTGCAGCGCAAAGATTCCAGGCTCGTGATGCTTTTCCTCGGGGTACTTCCGGCCAAAGATACCATAAAATCTTGTCGAAAAACTATTGAAATGAGGTCCAGTCTCAAGAAAAGAGTTCCTCACGCCTACCACACCTTGCATAGAGGAAATTAAGGAAAAATTCATGGAATGCACCGAACTTGTAATGGAATCAGTGGTAATCCATACATATTCCTTCTCCATCATCTTCTTTTCCTTAGCCACTCCGAAAACACGCGTCGCAAGTTCTAAAGAAGTATGCACAACAAACACTCTACATTGCTCTTTTTTCAGATTTCCGAGTTCTTCGTGCAACAAAGAGGAATTACCAAAAGAAGGGAGGGGTAAAAGATTACTTATTTCGACATCAACTGCTTGTAAAGCACCATAAAGATAAGGACTGATTCCATTGGCCGTAGAATCTGTGTCCTCATATATTACATTCACCCTGCGCCACCCCCACGATTGAATTATATTAGCCACTGCCTTCATTTGTATGTGTGTCCCAGCCGCAGCTTGAATGAGGAACGGCCAACGCTCTGCCGCCCTCAGTGGACTAGAATCCGCAAATGAAAGAATTGGAACATCATAGTTTTCACTAACCTCTGCAACAGTGGATGTTTCCTCCCATGATCTTGGTCCAAGAATCACTTCCACCTTGTTCTTACTGATCAGATGTCTTGCTGCAAAGAAATTTAACAAAATTTCATAGATTTCTACGGCTATTCTTACACTTGTACCAAGTATTAATGGATCATTCGATATTTACCTGCAAGAGCTGACTTTATAGGTTTATGTTCAGAACACTTCAATCTCAGCATAAGAAATGTTTGACTGTGCATCTTGTTGAAATCTTGAATGGCCATATCCATGGCTACTCTTTCTTCTTTGCCAACTCGAGTGTTACAATCCGATATGGCGCCAATTACGCGCTCGTCTCCATTAATGCCTTCTGGTTTTAAGGCCAAGGCAACAGGAAAGAATAGAAGAAGAAGAAATGTTTTCATAACTAATTTTCTGAAGGTAAACAGAGATACATATGGCACAGCTAAAATATGTGCGATGTTCCAAATCTACTTGTAGCTTCCAATGTTATTGGAGTCAATGAATTATCATGATCAGATATTTCTTGGCCGAATTCATAAATCAATTAAAAAAAGTTGACCCATGAAAGGCGAGTTTGGGACTTTGAGGTTGTCTTGTCTTCTTGGATAATGGATGCAACTATCATAAATATAAGTTATGGTAATTCGGGTTCGTTTGTCATGCCTTTTCATAAGTTAAAAGCTAATTCTTAAGAATTAAGCCATTTGTACTTACTTGTTGACACTTTAGGTTAATCGATCCCACCACTCCTCTCACATAAGGTTGGATCCCATGTGGGGGTCATGACGTGGGGTCCGACCCCCATGTGAGAGGAGGAGGTGGGTCCGAGTAAACCAAAGTGTGAACAAACAAATACAAGTAGCATGACTCAATTCTTAAACTAAGAATCTACTTTCAAACATATTTAGATAATTTTCCAAAAATGTTTTGTATGATAAAAAGAACTTTTAATTTTCCAAAAATGTTTTGTATGATAAAAAGAACTTTTTTATGTATTTGATTGCAAGTATAGAACTTGCATGAAAAAAATAAGTTTTAGACAATTGATTTGCCGAAAATTTTCAATGAATGTATTTGATTAACTTAATTTTAAACCAAGAAAATATTGTACTTTTCCAAAAATACTGGAAACCAAGTTTTGGAAATTATTTTTCATGAAAAAAATATCAATAAAGTAGGAACTTGGAGTCTAAAATGATATTTTTCTTGAATCCCCGTCAAATGTGCTGTTTAATTTAATTGGTAATTAATCTGAGTTTCTTCTTATAAAGTTCTTAGAATATTTTTAATTAATTAATTTTAGGATTATTCTTAGTCATCCTACAAATATTTTTCATTTGGATTTGGTCACGTCAATTTCTTTAGACGCCCTAGATGTTGGTTAATTAATAAATTAATTAAATGACATCAAGAAGAAATTATTACCTTTTAATTTTTGAAGTTTAATTATAAATAGAGTAACTATATTTGTTCGGAATTCTTTCTTTCTTTTTTCAAATGACAACATAAATTCAGCCCCTGGGGTGGGAAATCGATTTTGCAGTCTCCACACTGTTCGAGATACAGCCAATTTGTCAATTTGTTGGAAGCACATTAATTTAAAATGGACCAAAAGTCCATCTACCCTTTGTACAACAGGGAAGACTGCAGTGACAGAAATTAAGTTGACATACAACTTGATCGACATTCACAAAATAAGAAGGTCCACTTCTTTTGAATTTTTAATTCAAGCAGGACCTACGCGCATGTAAGAGGCGATCCCCGCATCTGTCACCCATTTTCCATCAGTGGGACCTAATCTTTATACCACTGGTTGTGAACACTTTTCGTTTTTCGACAAGACTGAAATATTTGACTATTTCGCAAAGTGATGAAATTGAGGGCAAATTTGGTGTATGACCAGACAGTGAATAGTTAGAAAAGAGTCAGATATTATGGAATAAAATAATGAGAGCTTTGCCATTTGTACCCGACGTGAGAAAAGGGGTCGGACCCCACAAATTTATTGGCGTGGGCCCCGACCCCCAATGTGAGTAGCAGGTAATTTGGAATGTCAAATTCCAAGTACCTGTAGCAGCTCTCAAATAATGATATAGATTGGGCCCATTTTTGGGTCCCACAAGAATTACACCCTGATATACATAATGGTTAAGTGACATTTTATTAGTGATGGGGGAAAGAAAATGCTTTTTCCATTGGTCAATAATGAAATGCCACTCAAACATTATATAAACTTTAGTGTACATGTAGAATAATCATTAGGGTAATACTACTTGTACACTTTCGATGTAGATAATAGATGACACCTCTCACATGGAGGTGAACCCATGCATAATAAATTATGTGAAAGGGTGTCAACAATTATGTACACGAAAAGTGTACATATAGCACTACTCAAATCACAAATAGGATTATACTTTGTGAACTTACACACACGGTGACACCCATCACACATTGAGGGAGCCCACGAATAATTTATGCTCAGGTCTCCCTCCATGTGAGAGGAGTGTAAGCATAATTCTCATTAATATTCTTGAGAGAAATGGTACAAATATAAAAATAATCAAGTGAAAATTTCTCCCAAAAGTAGTCTGCCGGCCATGAAAAAAAAAATTAAAAACTAAAAATAAGAAGAAAAAATTTAAGAAGACGAACCCCAACTATCTAGTTAATTAATCGTCACGAAACTTTTCATACGTCGTCGCTATTTGATAGGAATTAAAATCTAAGCTTTTATCTAAATTAAAGTTAATAATTAATTTTAATTATATGAGCATGTTTGGTAGAGATTTTAATTCAATTAACAATAATTTTTTGACCGTTATTTCACTATTACAGCCGTCATTTTTGAATAATTCTCTCACACATAGGACTCGCTTTATCTTTAACGGTCAAAAAATCAATTAACAAAATTTCTACCGAACAAGCACTATCAATCATGGACATATATTGCTCCACCTCTTAGACAAAGTGGTTTCCTATTTTAACTAATTTGTCAATTTATATAAGACTTCCACTAACTTGTTTGACTGATCATTTCCCAACAACCATATTGACCAATCAAATTATAGTCTAGAATGACTAGAGTCCAGTCCTCCGACTCTTTCAATTTCACGAAATTCTTTGCATGCATCTCGTGTCACGTCATTTTCTTCCTTAATTTATTGTTGGGATTAATATTATATTAATTTTAGTAATTTTCTTGTTTAATATCTAAGTCGTGACATCAGCTGAACAAACCTAAGATATATGTTACTGTAAATATTAATAAATTAGTAATATTAAATCATCGATGTCACGACATTGTGAAAACACGTTCAAGCTTTTATTAGGTATAAAAGATTCTTGATTTGAAATGAAGACTTTCAAAGTCAAGTTAAAATAATATTTTAAGTGCAGGATATATTATTTTTATATCTATTTTCAGAGAATTTTGGTCTATTTTTAGTGAAAATGGCCCAATGAGTAAAAATCGACGACTTTACCCCTGATGTACGGTCGTTTCGGCCAAATATCATGGTTTAGGGTTTCAAAAATTCTTTTTTTTTTTTTCATTTTATCATTATCTAGAGTTTATCGCTATTTGAGAGCTTAGTTGTTATCTCGATTTTATTTATGCTTTAAATACGAGTTATAAGCCTTATATCAATTGTTTAAATATTAATTTAATAAAGAGAATTGAGAACTTTCTCAAAAAAAATATTCTTCCTTAGTACTTGTAAACAAAACAAGAAGTTTGAGGTGTGAGATTTTGTTTTTAACTATAAGCTTTCGCTATATCAATTTGACTCTGGACCTTATGGATTGAGTAACGTCTTCCCTAAACCCATGAGCTTGCTCTTTTTTCTAAAAGAAATAAATAAAACGAGCTCAGGGGAATCAACTCAATCCATGGATCGTTTCATAACGAGCTCAAACTGTCCACGAGTCAAATTGGGAGGATCCGAAGCTGTAAGTTGCTCGGTCCATTTGCCACCCTATCTAAAGGAATGCCATTTATACGTGTGGAAAATAATACGATGCAAAATGTAATGTAAATAAAATTACAAGTTTGTAGCTTTGAATTTGGGTATATTGCAGTTTCTCTGAAATTTAGATACTTCTTATGAAATGAAATAAATAACATTAATTCTTGTTAAAAAGACGAAAGTTTTAGTGATTTTCAAATGTGTAACACATAAAAATTTTCAACGTATTAGTTTTGTGTACAATGTGAAACCACCTACACAAAAACACTTAAATCATTAGAAGACTAAGAGATATATTTATATATTTTTATTTTTTTTCTTCAACAATTATTATTGATAAGTATTGAAATATTGATCCCTGAAATCTTTTTAATAATAATAAAAGTGATTTATCTTATATACGTAGGGGTATCAACATGAGTGAATTGGTCTACACCAATCCACCTACATCTAAATTTAGTTTAAACTCACTATAAATTCCGATTATCGGAACTGGAGATGGGAGGGTCGTCCAATTGTCGTCCTAAAGTGCATATTTTTAGGGTTTGATTAACTTTTGGGTAGTTAATGGTTAAAAGTATACATGGTATGTACTTTTGTTCTATATGTTACTCAGTCCTTGTTTGGTTTGGATATAAATTAAATTTTTAATAGATTTTGATAAAACATGTGGTTAAAAAATTGTAAAAAAATAATGAATTCCATAAAATTTATGGTTGAAAATGAATTTTCCGAACATGGACTACAAGTTGCATAGTTATGGACGTTTTGAAATAATTGGCTTTGTCCGTACAAGACAAGCCAAAAGACTTTGGTTGGGCCAGCCTACATTTACCTAATATGACTCATACTTTGTACTGTGCTTGCAACAGTTCTAGGCCCATGTTAGAATTCCATTAAACTTGCTATTTCATTGAAATACATTTTTTAAATATTTGTTACACTCGACTCAATAAAATTGAACAAGACAATTTAGGGTGGCAATTGGCATAATCGAGTTGACCTGTCTCAATCCTATGGATGAGTTGAGCTCGGCTCAAGTCCAAATCCTGGTGGAAGACCCTTTGACTCGTCGCCCTCATAGAAAAATACTTTTGCATCGACCATCACAAAAGAACGCTATCTATGTCAAGGTAACTATGTAACAAATTATGCATGCATAACATGATAATACATGGTGATATTGTAATGCTTTCATTTAGTGCCTATATGGCTAGTCGTTCTAGAAAAGAGTTGCACTTAGACACATATGGAAGGGTATGTACACCTATTTGATGCAATTATTGGACAAGATTGGGACCTGAAAACCATGAGAACAATTAAATTGTATTATTCTAAAGTTGTATAATACATTGGTATAAGGACATATCTGGTATGGCTTTTAAAAAGTCAAAAATTATCTTTGAGATCAAAAAGTTACTTTTTAACATGTATTTGGATTGTTTTCTGAAAGTATTTCGTTTAATTAAAAGAATTTTTAAAGAAAATTGACCTAAAATAACTTTCTCAAAATGCTCTTCTACAATAAGTAGAAACCCTGCTAAACGAGTCATAAATTACAATCAAACAT